TTTGATCCAAATCGAAAGAGCCCTTTCTGAAATGTTAGCATATTAAAAAAATACGTTTGCGTGTGCGTAAGCTGAAGTGCTAATTCGAATTTGATAAAATTGATATGGAACCATCTAGGCACTAATCTACATAATTCCTGAAAATTTCATAAAAATTGGATGAACGGTACTAGACGATATGAACGTCACATATATTTGACTACAGACAAACAGACACCGAATCAAATTTGATCCTTGATGTCTGAAACGTAAAACGCAACTGGAAATTTTCGATTCTGAGCACAAAATTTTTTTTTTAACTCTCGCACGAACGCAATGCTTCCCTACCTTCGGTACTAAAGAGCAAAAATCTTGCTTCGTGAACTTAAAAAACATTCTGTTTCAGACTATTAATATAGAAAATCAAATTTTCTAATGAATTTAGAGGTCAACGATTCATGTTATCATTATCATCATTCGTGTCATTAAGACAATCTCTTATAAAACATAATCAAAAACCACCGATAAATCTATAAGTCACATCGGTATAGGTATATATAGATGTATTGCTATGGTTCTTATATATTATTTAATGGGATGCCACCTGATAATTATTGTGAATAATTATCCATATATATTTAATAAATATATACGAGAACTAGTTAAAACTTTAATCTACCATTTGGTCAAAATTTAATAGAATTACTTTTTCTTGTTGGTTTTATCAAATTTCCAATTGCGTTTAATACCTATATTATATTGCGTTTGTTCTTCTGCGAGAATACAGGCCATGCTTCAGATTTCTTCCATCATCATGGTCCCGTGTCTTCTCCTCCAGTCAAATCCCGAGCTCCAAGAGTGCCATGTTCTGGAGAAGAGTCATTTAGGGATGGGATATTGAAGGCCCATTATCGATCAAATTGAATTTTTTTTTTTAAATTAATAAATGGAAATATCAAGTATTCTTCCCTCCTTGTTAAAATTAATTTTTTAGTTCATGTCGTCATCCTCATTTTTTTTTCACAGAAATTTCCATTCAACCAATTATGCCTTCCATTCACCCACGGATCGGATTCAGCGAAATGCTAATTTATTTGCACCATACTTAGATTTCTTTGACAATTCGCAGCCTTAGTTTGAGAAGGTTATAACTAACAAATTTGGGAAAATCGAGTTTACTGATCGAGAATGGTCTTACGCGCGATAAGCTCTACTCTACTTAGGATTGACCATCGATAATCGTTATTATCGAAATATCGATATTTTCCTCTATTACACACTACATTATAAATGAAATAGGCAAGACAAGTATATTTTTTTATCTAACGATCAGATCCATATATAATTCTTAGCGTTTTCCAAAAAAGATAGTTTTTATTTATATTTTAAAAATAAAATATCGAAGGGACTATATCGATAGTAGATAATATCGAAGTAGATACAATCGAAAATATTGATATTTCGATAATATTGATTATCGATGGTCATCCGCACATCCATACTCTTAGTCTACTGAAATGCGAAAATTAAGAAACAGCAGCCTCTTAAGTCATATTTCTCCATCTCCAGGAGATTTTTTGCATATAACTAATAATTAGTTTGTTTTTTATTTCTTCATGATATTTACAACTGGATTAAAGAAATACAATTTAGTTTTCAATTGAAGTATTTGATACAGTTTAGTTAAAAGCTTCCTTGAGCGGTGATCTGCACGTGTGGTTTCTCTCTTTCACCATGCTGGGAGCTCTGATAATCCAATATGTCCTATTTTATATAAACAGTCAATCTAGTAGGTGACGTGGGTTGTGTCGATAACAGAGCCTTTTTTTTTTTAGATGTTTGACAGGTACACCCTTTCCGAAAATATAGTGGTCATATTGAAATTCGTTAGTAAAATGAAATTGATTTAAATAATATTGTATATTAATCTATCGGTATTCGTATTTTATTTTTATCAAGATTGGAAAATTTAAATTTAAAATTAAATTAAATAGTGGTCATTCTGCTTTTAATTGTTTGCAGTGTTGATTATGTTTATTAATTATGTTAGCAAGCATCCATTTTACTTCATAGAATATTTTTCTCGTATGTAGGATGATTGTTTGATAAACAAATTTTGAAAATTTGTCCATTTTCAGCTGTACAAGTATACACCTTCATTAATTATATTTTACATCTTACCTCCATTCGAAGAATTTTATAATATCTTGCTCAATTGTTTCAGTGAGACGCGAGATTTGTGATTTTTTCTATTTTGTATCGGAGATTTTCATTAGTTTGTATGCTATAGAATAAGCTTGGTCTCCTTCAAAATAGCAATTTCTTTTTTTTTTTTTTTTTGTTCATTTTATTCACTTAGTTGTATTTTTAAAGTAAAATATGAATAATACTGGAATTTAAGGTAGAATAATAAAACAAATGAAAATTTGGTAATTTTCTGTTGTTTATTATTAAACAACGTATAAATACATCCATAAACACAAAGAGAAGAAGTAACAAATACATCACATTCCGATTGCGATCCAAAATAGCAATCGAGTTTAATTAATAGGGATAGTTATATATTACAATCTATTACAATAACATCGGTAATTTATAAAACGTATATTATACTTAAGTGCTGTAAACATCTCAAAATACAAAATTTAATCAGGAAGAATTAACTCTATTTTGGATCGATAAGTAATACATATGATAATGATAAGGTATTATTTATTCATTCAAATATCAGTATAAAGAAGATGATAGTAAATATTACAACAGCTGTTATTCACAACTTCTATATTTAAACAAAAATAATGAGTGAAAAACTATTAAAAAACTGTTTCTCACTTTTTAAAAGTTCTTTTTTTAAAAGTTCTTTTTTTAAAAATACATTTTAACATTACTTTTCAAAAAAATATAAATTACATACACATTTATTCGGTGATTTAACAATATGCAATAGTATTTTCGAATAAAACATTTGGACTAGCAACACATTTATGGTTATATATTCATACATATATATATTTTTGTTTTCCATAAATTATGAACAATTATATCATCAGAGAAATAGTGCACCGCTTCGGTTCCGTAACAGGTAACTGTGAAAAGCGAAAACATTCAGCAAATATTTACATCTATTTTATTAAAATATTAATTAAAGTAACATTAATATATTGCGCATAAATAATAAATCACAGTTGATTTACAAAATCAAGTTATTTAATATGAAAATATAATTTATAATTTATGATACATTTATGAAAGAAATACAATATTGGAATATAAGATCATATAAAAAAAAAAAAGGAAAAGAAAAACATGAGAAAATAATCACCTTACACCCTTTATTAATATATAATTAAAAAAAAAATCTGTAGATAAAACAGTTTAATCATATCAGCTATTAAAAAATTTAATTTTTAATATAATACTAATATCGAAGAAAGTTAGTTGACTGTTCTACATATCATAATTGATAAATATTCAGGACTTAGTCATTTTTAAGGTTTTTATTAGAGCCGACGTTCTTTAAACTATAGATCATTACCTACATATAATTTATTTAAATAACTATTGAAATGTGGGTTTTAGTTTAAAAAAAATTATTTATTGAATTTAATTTTAATGATTTAAATTAATAAAATAAAATTAGTTATGGAACCAGCTTACATCCAAAAAGTATTAAAATTGATATAAAAATAAAATGTCGTATTTTTTACTTAACCACTATAATAAATATATATTTATATTTATTTTTATTTATATTTATAAATAAAAATATATATTTATATTTATTTTTATTTATATTTATAAATAAATATAAATATATACGTTGTTAAGTAAAAAAATATAACATTTTATTTTTATCTCAATTTCGATACATTTTAGATGTAAGCCGGTAACATAACTTATTTTTATTTATTATTTATTTATTTATATGCCATGCAATTCGAACCTGCGCGGTAGCGTATCTAGCAATTTTATTTTATTAATTTAAATCATTATGTACATGAGTAGTTATTTTTATTAGTTTAGTTTTTGTTTTTTCTGTATCATTTATTTTTATTTATTGTTGATAGATGAACCCTCTGAACACTATAATAAATGTCCTTATTTGGGACAGATTGTATTATCTCTGAATAAATATGTTTAAAAAAATATTTAAATAATTAAAATTAAATTTAATAAATAACCATTTATAAATTAAAACGCATATTTTAATAGTTATTTAAATAAATTATGTGTAAGTAATGATCTATAGTATAAAGAAAAAAATATTGTTTATCTTTTGTGCATTTCACACAACATTGATTGCTTTTATAACGAAAAGCGTTTGTGCGTTTCTTCTTTTCAATTTTTAAAGTTTTTTGATAACGAAGATATTGAGCTAATTTAATATTTTATTAATTATTTAATAAATTATTGTGAAATTCTCTGTATGCGAACGTATTGTAGATTTAAAATTGATGAAATTCAGTGCTGTTATTATATTTTAATGTAAATAAAAAAAAATATATTAAAAGCCTATAACACCAAATTTATTCAAATGATGAAAAATATTTTTAGAAGTAAAACATACACTTACTTCATAGTATTAATAAAATAAACAAATCTATCCAACCTTTGCTCTTGCCCACATCAAAGACAGAACTCAATCTGAATTCCAAGTATTTCGGTGTCCATCATGCTTAAAATCTATCTCTATAAATATCAGGAATTATATAAATTATTTTTAATTTTTAAAATGATAAAGATTATGAGAATTTCGATTGTTTAAAATCGTAAAAACGGATACTGAAAAATGATTAAGTCTTAGGCAGTTTTTAAAAATCACAAACATTTACAACAAAATATAGTGAACTACGAGAGGCAACAGTGTAAATAATTCTAGTGGTAGAAGCATTAAATAATTATTTCGACATACCGAATAAGTAAATCGATATATTTAAAAACTATCGATACGATATGTTATCCATTTTATCCCCATGTTTGTTTATATAATCTGAATGAATCTACGTTTAAAATGTTCACTATTTAAAATGTGAGAGTGAGATAAAAAAAAAAAATAAAATAAATCGGTAGCAGTTCTAGATTTATGAAATGTCAGCACAGGTGGGATAGTATCGTGGACAAGAGCTTCATTAATATTACCAAATTTGTCTATACATAAATATCTTAGTATGATTAATTCCAACATCTTAATGAATGAAAGTTGGAATCACTGTTTTATCTACAGAATCATCCCGTCCCAGGTTACCGTCTGTCCTTCTGCCCCAAACACTTAGCCAATCTCCAGTGCTTCCCGAACATAGACGAATATTTGCCAGGGTTACGTTAAAATAATTTGGAAAAGAGTGTTGAAAAAGGACACCGCAGAGGTCCCACTTTACCAAGGACGCTTCATATCCCCGCAGAGGCCCATCACCTAGCGAGGAGCGCAGCGATGAGGATGGCAGTGAGGAATCCAGCGGAGAGGCTGGATGAGCCACCGCTGACGGCTTCCCTCGACGCCGCCAAAGCGCTCGTCCGCTGGTCCACGCAGCTGTGGTACTGCCTGTAGTCGATCTGCGTGATGGCGCAATACTGGGCGGTCTTCCAAGCACCCTTCACCGGCATGTCGTAGGTACTTACGGAGTTGGCCACCCAATACCTGTCATAATAATAATAATGCTTTATTTATTCTGAGACGAGTCCCTTTAGAATAATACAGAGAGACAAAAATGTGGGCTAAGGAGCCTCAGAGATACATAAAGAAGAATATAGTTTGATTAAATAGTAAAAAGAAATAATAAGAAGAGAAATTATAAGTTACTTTCTAACTTACATCAGTTAATAATAAAAATTCGAAAATACACATGAAATAAAAATGATAAAGAACGATCTAATAATATATATACATATTTACAGAAGTAACTATTTCCAATTTTATGATGACTGGATGGATAAGAAATGATTAAACAGTTGGGATTTAAAGGTAGGAAGTGTTTTGGATTGACGTGGGGAGGGATGGAAGAGGATCGAATAATAAAAGATTTATCGAAAGCAGTGGTTCGGTGGGACATTATATATAAACCTGAAGACCGGGAACGGGTATTGCGGGATTGGACAGAGGTTTTAATTGAAGGAGTAGGCGATGTATGAAGGACGGCGGGAGTGAATTACATGGAAGAGGAAGGATGCCAGGAAATACTTACGGCGGTAGGAAGGATAATGCCACTTCAATTCTTCATAGAAACAGGAAACAGGGGCGTCTCTTGGGATCCCGAAGATGAATCGTACAAAGCAATTTATCAAACGTTTTAGTTTCGCCTCGAGATCCCCAGAGACGCCTCCATATACCGTGAAGCAATAGTCGAAGTGGGGAAATATTAAGGAGGTGACCAGGAGTCTACGTCCTGTACGTATTTCAAAAGGAAAAAGGTGTCGCAGGCTATTTAAGTGTTTTAGGGTGGAAAAGGTACTTCGGGAGATACTGGCATAAGGTTTTTCCAGGAAAGGGTTTGATCAAATATTATTCCAAGTTTTTTGATGGTGGGATAAAATTTGATGGGATTATCATGTAGGAACAGGGTTGGAAAGTTAGGAAGTTTTGAGGAGGTGATTGGAGAATATTAGGATTGCCTTGGTCTTTTCCGCATTCAACTTCAGCTTGTTAGCTCCTGCCCAGTCATATATTCTATTTAAATCTTTTTGAAGCTTTCTTGTGGCGGCTAATAGGTCAGAAGGGGGAAAGAAATCGTCAGCATAGATGCGGTATTGGGAGTGATGGATCAGGAGGGGAAGGTCATTAATGTAAATAGCAAACAGAGTAGGAGACAAGGAGGAACCCTGAGGAACACCACAGGAAAGGGGACGTGTCTTTGAAGGAGGTTGATCTGGGACGACTACATACTGGGATCGATCGAAAAGGAAGGATTTGAACCAACGCAGGACACTGCAAATAAAGGAAGATTTTGCAATTTGGTAAGAAGGATGTTATGGTCGACTGTATCAAACGCTTTGGAAAAATCTAGAAGGATGAGAATAGTAAGGTTTTGGTGTTCAATGGAGTTTTGGAGGTCATGGGTTATTTTAAAGTGGGCAGATTGCGTTGAATAGCCAGATCGGAAGCCAGATTGGAATGGATTGATGAGTGAACGTTCTTCTAGAAAGTTGGAAAGTTGATTTTGGACTAGGCGTTGCAGTGGTTTTGAGAGGTTGGAAAGAAGAGAAATAGGACGGAAGTCGTTTTGTGAGGAGGGGTTAGATGTTTTAATCAAAGGTCGGACTAGTGCAGTTAAGATTTACAAAAATTAATATGGTTCGTAGAAGGCTATTCCGAATATTATCATATAATATCCATAGACTTCTAAATCTAAAAGAGATTGTCATTTAACTGCTCAAGCTGCAATCCGTTTTGCAACAGAGGACGAGATGATCGCCGTGCATGTTGGGGAGTGGATATCAGACTGCCCGATTCTTAGATTTTGGATTAGATTTTAACCCGGGTCGGTTAATATTTGTTTCTTAGCTGCCCTTGGAAATGAATCATAGCATGACATACCAGAACTTGTACCTGTACCAGTGCTTTGATAGAAAGGGGTATTTGATAGGATATTTGATAGGAAGGGAGTTCCAGAAATTAATAGAGAGAGAAATAAACGAGTTTGGGACAGAAACAGATCTGTGAGAACGAATGTAAAGGTCGGAAGGTCGAGATCTTCTGGAAAGGGAGTAGACTGAGGACTTGAATTGGAGAAGGTTGTAGGCGCGAGAAGGACGATGGTTGTTGATGATTTGATAGACGAACGTACCTAGGAAATATTGTCTTCGAATGGAGGGGAAGAATCACTTTAACTCAGTGTAGTGTTGAGACACTTGGGAGTATCTCGGGGTACCAATTACAAATCTTACGCAGCTGTTCACAAGTCTTTAAAAAACAACAAAGAGTTTAATGTAGGAAAGATCTGAAGAATTTTTTTGATGAGATGAGAGAAAGAGCGACACTTTAACATCCTGCCACAGTTTCCTTGCCTGGCTAAGGTCCTTATCTGTGCCGAATCACTTGATACCTCTTCTAATCTTTATTATGAAACCGTAATCTATTTATTCTTCCTTTTATTTCCCTTTATTTCGAGATCGATTAGAAGTAGCTCACTGCTGATCAATACAAGCACCCGGATTCAGATTGTCCTTTGCAAATAAACTGTTGAAGAAGGTTTGATTTAATACGCCTTCCATGTTTAACTGGCTGTTTCTACATTGGTGTTAAAGGGCATTTTTTAAAATTTATTTATCATATTTACAATTGTATTGATATTTAAAATACATTCATTAAATGTGATAACCGAAAATAATAACATGAAAATACTTGTTGAGAAACGACACACTTGCAGCACTCTAAAAAATGTTTTTATAATAGGTCATCTACTTTTCAGACAAAGGATTATCAAGAATCGAAGAATAAGCAAGGCTAGAAACAATGGGGTTCGGATGGTTCTTAAGATAATTATGGAAGGATAGGCATCTAGATAGGGCCAAATCGGGAACATAAGGACCATTAAGATCGTTATGGATGATTTTATCAGTAACAAAGTAAGGAGCAGTGAGGATTTTACGAAGGTGTTCGGATTCGTAAGGAATTCAATGGATTAGTGGAGACCCAAATTTCAAGTCCGTTAGTCCAAATATGTCTTATTGTAGCAATGCACGATTAGATGAGTCTTTTGTAATTAATTGAAAGGAAGTCATATGTTTACGACGCGTCACAAAGCTGATTTAATGGGTTTATTTTAATCCTCCAGTTTTGACACCGTTCTTCAAGGTTTTTGATGTGACATTGAAGAGTTTGCGATACAATTGTTCTGTTATTATTAACTGGTAGGACATACGTATCATCGGCATACGTGGCGATGATATTTTTAGGATGGGTTGAGATGTCAGCTGCATGAACTGTGTAAATAACATAACCTAGGATACCACCTTGAGGAACACCAGCGGATTGGGAAAAAAGGGACGAGTAAGCGTTATTGTGATTCACTTTAAAGTAACTATCAGTTAAATAGGAACGGATAATGAGGAAGTATATATTATGTAGAAATTTACGGAGCTTGCATAACACTCCCGGGTACCAGATTCGATCAAAATCCTGTTAAAGGCCATTAGTTTTGTTTAGTTCACAAAATTACTTCTTCCTTAAAGGTATAATCCGAATTTTCCGAATTATAGTACAACTACAACATTATTGGCTATATGGATAATAATAATACCTTCCAAACAGTTTTACACCTTCATCAGTAGTAAACATCTGCGCCAAATCGTTCAGTTCTGCAGGAGACACTTCGACTAAGCCGTAGTACCTGTTAAGTTATAACAAAATTGTGTATAAATGTATTTCTATGTTTATTATTGCCTAGATATCATTAAATTTTACAAATGAACCTCTCTTATTGGTTTATCCACTCTAGGGCCACTCATTGATGAATATTTAAATGCTCAAAGATTACCCAAATCGAATAAAAACAAAGTTAAAAAAGGTTGGAAAAGTCGAGGCCTCAGCAGGAATATGTAGAGAAAGAAGAGATAAGAGGGAGACGCAGAATTGCTGATATGACATCTTGCCTAGGAAAAATAAATAGATTCAACCCAGCTGACATGAACTGGGGTGTTTATTCACCTTTTTCTACAGGATAAATACATTCTTTAAGAATTTCAAAAATACATCAGACAAATGAATGTTACTATAGTAGAGTAGGAGAATGTTGCATAGTGAGGTTTATAGGCAACATAAATTAACCCAGTAATATCATTCTTTACCGAAACATTTTTTTTTTCAGGGTCTAGGATAACAACATTGAATGTTTTTAGATTATCAGACTATGAAGACACACATATAAAACCGTTATAAATTTTGCGAATGTCAATTAAACCTTCTATTTTACATTGGCAAATTTTATAACAGTTTTATAAGCATGTCTTCATGGTCTGATAACTTAAAAAAAAAAACTCCAGAGATGAGTCAACACGGCTCAGGATAAGGAAATACCACGACCAATTAAGGCGAATTTACACTGTATCTCTTTCAGGGAACATTTAAAGTGATTCATCCAGAGTGAATCATCCATGGACCATTTACTCTTGGGGTTTTTACCGCGCAGTTCATTGTTTTGTACTTCATTAAGTCAGGATGACTGAGCGAGCCGTTTCTTGCCTAGTGGTGTGAGGGGGAAGAGGGAGGGGAGGCTCAAAATTTGTTCCGTAGCGGACGCATGAAACGGATTTCGACCTTCGCACTCTAGTTAGAATGCGTTCAGTTGTACCATTAGAACAACCCACCCATATTTTAGGAATGGCGATATAACGGGGAATAAAAAAAAACAAAGAAAGATGTTTCGTGTTTCATTTCCGTGGGAACTGTGCTATTGAAGATGATTTCTGCGTGAAGTAACTGAAGAATTTTACGGTCAGGAATCGATTTAATATTACAGATGTTATTGAATGAAAACCATAAGTTTTAAAGAGGACTAGAAAAACTCTAGGAGCCTCTCCAATACTACCAGGAAAATGAGGAGAAGAAGACTGAAAAATAATTATATCAATAAAAAGATTTTTTTTTTCCTTAAAAAAATCAGTTTAAAAACAGTTATTACAAGTATTTTACAAACTGTAGGCCTCACCTAATTAACAGAATAATGGTATCATTTACGGTTACGGCTACCATTAACGGTTGTTATACGGTTACCAGCCGTAGTGGTAAGTAAGGGGGGGGGGGGAGGATTCGATCCTATTATCTCTACTTTGCTAGTGTAGCACACTGTCCACTCATCTATACTGGCCCCATTAAAAAGAGTAATCAGCGTTAAATATTTTATTGAAGGGAATATTTTATGATTATAGCTCAAAAAAAAGATTTATTGTTCCAAGTCGATACACAATATATATATATATATATATATATATATATATATATATATATATATATATATATATATATATATATATATATGTATATAAAAAACGTTATAAAGTTGTACAAAGTTATAAAGTTTCACTCATTAATGAATTTTTGGAACTATTTACAATTATCATTACATCTCCGTTCCGGTTCGATCATCAATTCCAGGAGCTAAAAACGGTCCTCTCATATAAATTGAGACAGAAGTCAACTTCATTTTTGATAATTATTTGAAGACAATATGCAAATTGACAGAGTAAATGAAGCTTCAAGAAAGACCATCCCTAATTCTCAACTAATCTCTTCCCTCCTCTCACCTTTTCCCCTCCCCCACAACTTGGTCTTTACTTAATGGCCAAAATACATGATTCATTTTATTATAATATGTATACACAAAAACAGGGAAAAATAAAGTTTACCTTGTAAAATTATATTCAACAGTCCAATTATCTTCTCCACTTGTGTTCGCTAAATCCAAGTCTAAATAATATTGTGTGTAATCGTATACCTGTAAAGATATTGATTATACTAATACAAAGAAAAACATTACTTAACAACAATATAACTTAAATAATATGAAATACTAGTGGCCTTCTAAAATAATTAACATTTTATGTTAGTGGCCACTAAATCTGGCGAGATGTCAAGAGAATCAGTTGCATAATTGAAACTAGATGTAACTGTATCTGCAATGAGAGGATCAAGAAACGGAGAACAGCGGAAATCCTTATAAAACACTCCTATTCGCTGATAAACACACCAGTGTATTACATGAAAATATATTATATAATATAACATATATAGTATACTACATAATATACAAAATAAGATGAAAGATTTCAAAGATTCATTATTAAAAATAATAATCCAAGACATAGTAATTATTCCAACTGCCCCAGTATTGCTTGTAGTGGTCCAATGTCGATATTAATTTTTTATTGTTTGTCTTATTGATAATTTATGATGATTTCATAATTCATGATTTTAATCTATTAGTTATCCTTTTCTTCATAATTTTTTTCTGATTTGATTTTTAGGAAGGAAAGGATTACTCATTTGCATTTCAGGTTGTGATGGTTATATCATCAAATATGATAGGTATAATCATTACAATAATATGATCATATTTAATAGGTATTAAAATCATTTTTATTTTTTAAGAATTATATAGGCACCAACTTGTACTGTAGGCTATTATATAAAGAGGATTGTAATGTAGGCTGCAATAAGCTTACATGATATGAAGCTGCTAATACCATTGTTTTGTTTGAGGATAGTTTTAATGTTTAATTATTTCTATTGTAGTCGGAATAGACAATTATAAATTGTTCAATGAACTCTCATGGAAAGCCTTAGCAATTAATTACAAGGGTTTTAGCGTTCAGACAGCTTCGTTTAATTTTTACTTTCACATGAATAATAAAAATTAATAGTTTTTATATTTCTCGTTTAAATATCTTGAAGCCAATATGTTCCATGTAACATAGATTTTTATAGATAGATTAACAGAAAACACGTAAGGCCTCGACAAAGTGTGTTTAGTGTGAAAAATGACTCAATGGATGAGGAAAACTCTAAGAATGTCTCCAGACTTCATGAAATGTAGAAATACCAACGAAGGAAGGAACCTCTAAACATGATATGTAGGACTACTGGCTGACAATAAGATAATGGCTGATACATAACCAAATCTTACCTTTGACCCGATAAGCCATACTCTGATGCCAGAAATGGCTACCTACTGAAAAAATATAAACCATTCTTATCTCGTTCTATACTCTCCTTGTTTTTTATCATTGCGCCATTTAAATTTCTTTCTTTCTTTCGATCAGAAGAGGCAGATATGAAAAAAAGTACCTGTAAGAGATGAGGCAGAACTAGTCATGAAGTCTGGTAACCAAGTGCAATGTCTTCTAAATGTTTCTTGTTGCGGAGGGGGTACGATTCTTCATAGGTTTTCACTAACAGCTTCTTTAGATTCTCATACAGTTGCTAAGCGGTATCTGTTAAGAAGTCCTGTATCTGGGTGAGCACATCATGGTCTATATTTGGTACCAGCTGGAAGCTAATGGCGCTCAAGGTTAGTTTAAATGTCGATAAAACTGGTTAAACTGTGGAAAACCACCAATTTTTCAGGAAGATTAGAGTTAAGTAAGTTAGATGTAAAGAACACATGTTCAATGAGAAAAAATGACCCAATAGATGAGGAAAAGACTATGAAAGGAAGACCTCAGGCGTCGTGAGAATGCGTTCCTAAAGGACTATCGGACAGTAATCACAAACGGGGAGATGAATCTTCAGACATTGTCGGAGGAAGAACTATTCACGAAGGGATAAGCCTCCAGGCTTAGTATGTAAGTATATTATATATATATATATACATAACAAAATAAAATATGATCAATTCTGGCTGGGAAAAGAAAGGTGTCTGACTGTGAGAATCATAATTTAATTTGAAATATACCTACAAAGAGTAGTACCCATCTAGACTATTTGTGTTTTCACTCTGATTCAATAAAAAGTTTCCGATACTATCTTTTTTCAAATAATATTTAATCTAACCATTTGAGCTTATGTCACCTTAAAAAGGAAATATTTTGTGCTTAAAAAAATTCCAAAATTTCAATTGATTTTTTAGCACTGCTGTGAATCCACAAGTCTTTCAAAGTCGAAAACATTGATTTTGTATATTAATTACACACGTAACAATAAATAAAAAGAAATTTTTATGAACCGACTTTTAGCAGTTTTTAAAAATTAATTATGGTTGTATACGTAATTTGTCTAATTTTTTATTAGGCCCCTGAAACAAATCAATTTCAATAATATTCAGAATATATGGTAAAAATTTAATTAGTTTATCATGATGGAATCATAAACATTTCGTTGTTTCCATACTTAAGTATTACTACCTCTTTTTGCCAACCAATATCGCATTATAGAGGGTTTCGCATTCCGAATGGTTCGCAAAATTTATAAAAATTCCATTCAAAAACATAATGCTATTTTGAAGTAAAGAGAAAATTGTATTCCCTATTATGAGAAGGAAAAAATAGCAATTAATTATTTACTAGACGAAGTTAATAGAGAGTAGCTCTCAAGGCGAAAAAGTTTATATCACCAGTTAAGAAGAGATACGAGCAGCTGCGAAAAAGTTTGGCTCATGGCTTGGAAACCGCTAAACTGAGAATCAATTTGTTAAATTAAAAAAGGCTTTTCCACCGTCCGAGCTTGTTATACAAAGCACGTTTACAAGAATAAAGTAGAATGGTAAAACATAATTTTTAAAATAGAATGGATATTGTTGGCCCAAGAGTATATCTTCCTCCCCTCCTAGCGTATTTTCTTGGGACTTTACTTGGTGGGACCACTTTGCTTAATGTAGCGGCTCTTACTTTCTTCATCTACCATCAGCTACTGCATCGGACGCCATCAAGTTGGTCAAGTATCGCATAAACTTGAATTTAAATAATTTTTATGACTTTAATACTTTATTATCTCATTCATTTTCCATTTTTTTCTTTCTCGCAACCCAAAGCAGGAAAGCTTTGTATTCATGAAAAAAATGCGTATTCGGTCAATAACGTTTATATTATGGTACTGTTGTTTCCCATATATCGTACGTTTAATATGTAAAAGAACAAATAGTAAATATTGTAACAATATTATGACTTACCAAAATATAGCTGGCCAAAAATCAGATAATTAATTTTTTTAAATTTATTTATTTAGAATTATAACGATCTGTCATGTGGGCAATAGATTATAGTGATATATGAACACATTCACACCATATATACAGGAAATATAAAATTAACAAAAGTAAAATAATAATCAAAAACTAGATAGATAAATATTTTATTTGTTTTTGGGAGGTTTCCCTTACAAATAGAGCCTAGCTTGGCTATTGTACAATAATATGGTTTTACAAATTTACATACATATCATTTAAATATAAATAAAATTTACAATATTTAACGTTTAGAATGGGTTTCACAAAACATGAATAACAATAAAAATAAAAATATAAAACGATTACTGCATAATAATAGTTATATGAACCTGTTACTATGATAGAAACAATAAAAAATAAAAATATTTATAAATATAAACAAAATATTACTTTTAAGATAAACTAAAAACAAACCCTTAATAGAACATGAGCTATGATCAAGAATTTTGTGGATGCACTTTGTGTAATCCCATCATATAATAGTAAACTTTATTTAATTTATCTATACAATCGATATTCAATATGGTTTCGATGTTGTGGTTATCAGAAGATTCTGAGATGAAGTTTTGAAGGAATTTTTGGCTATATGCTGGGCAGTGAAGGAGAATGTGACGTAGACTATTGTAGATAAATTGACTGCATGATATACAGGTATCTTGAGACTCAATCGCAAATGTTCTGTCTTCTGACTAGACTCTGATATGTTCTGGGTTTGCAACGCTTAATTGGCTAACACATCTCAACTTCTTTATATGGACATTGAATGTAAGGTACGATTTGGGATCGGGAGAATTGTAACTGCATAGCTTCCGTATAAAGGGTAGTTAGTGGAGTTTAAAGTTCTTTGTATGTCGGCTGAGAAATAATAGTTGTGTGTTTTTCAAGGATATCGTATTTGTATCGAAGAAGTCCGTTTGTGAGGAGTAAATTGAGACACCCAGTTGAAGTCAATGCCAGGCTTATCATTGTCTAATGTTTTAAGTCTATTAAAACAACGTTTTGGGAGTCGGTCTTTTGGCATGAACTCGAGCTTGGTCCATAGATTTATCATCTTTTTTATTACTTTCATGTTTAATAGTTCTCTTCCTGTTTCGAGGCAGACTATGTAGTTTGGAGTATTTCTGGGCCAACCAAACAATTGCTTGAAAAATTTAAGTTGAACCGTTTCGATTGCCTCAAGATAGTTGGGGCTCCATATTTCACAAGCATATAGCAATGTTGATGAAACCATGGAGTCAAATAACAATTTTTTACTTTCCCAGGTGTCAATTTTCCCTTTTTTTACTATGTCTATGACTCTCGCAGATGACACTGATGACTTCTTCACTAATAATCAAAAACTATGTACAGTAAAAAAATGAAATAACCTAAAGAGAAGTAAATTTAAAAAAACAACATAAAAACACAGTCATACCTAGACAATTAAAATTACGAAAATATTTGGAATTTTCCAATCATAACCTAACGTAGATTTTCGTACGTTAACCTAACGTAAGTTTTTACAGGTTCATATTTGTCAATATTTAAAATAATTTTACTATGCAACCAATAGAACTTTCGCGGAACTTAATCTCGAGTAAAGTGCTATAGAATAAGTACTGTGGAATCAAATAGTATTTTGTGCGTATGTGAGCTTAAAACTAATAATAAACAAGTTTTTGATTGCAAGTTATTATAATATGTTTAGAGAGAAATGTAAAATGGAGGTCAGATTGTTTGCCCAGAGAGCAATCTATAGTAAATCGGGTCTTACATTTATTAGAGATAGACTAGGC